CCCCCAGCCGTTGCGTCTCCAGCCACCTCAGCAACCTGCGTGACGTGTTCGGCGACATCGACCCAGCCTTCCGCGGTACCGAGATGCAGGACGCCAACGAGTTCCTGCTGCGCCTTCTGGACACGATAAAGGACGAGACCGACGCCCGCCAGCCGTCCGCAAATCCCGTCCGAGACAATTTCCAATTCCAAACCATGGAGAACTTCATGTGCATCAGATGTCACAAAACGGTGCCGAGGCGGCAAGAAAGCATCACCTGGTTTGTGAACGTGCCGCGTCGCCAGGGCAGCGAGGTGCCAACGCTGCAGGACGCGCTTCGATTGAGCATGCAGCCAGAGCGGCGGGAGTTGCTCTGCCAGCACTGCCGCCATGGCGAGTGTCTTATCACCACCAAAGTCAGCCAGCTGCCCAGGACGCTGATCCTGCAGCTGAACCGATTCTTCTTCCTGGGTGATGAGTCCCAGAAGATCCAGGCCAACGTAAGCATCCCAAAGTTCCTGTCGCTCAACGAGTACGTGTCAGGCGACGTCAAACGGCCGCCAGAGTGGAGATACGAAAAGTCACTGCTATGCAACCTGTCAGACATTCAGGAACAGGCCGGGCTGGAGCGACCGCCGGTTCCCTTGTTGCCGCCTCCTGCGCCAGCGCCGCTCTCGCCCACCCCCGCCCCGGCCCCTGCCGCCGCCTTCCCGGCGGCGGCGGCCATCCCCACCCGGACGCCTCCACCAGTGCGGGAGCCCACGCCGCGGGCAGCGGCCAAAGCGCTCCAGCCACTGCTGGCCGCCCTGCTACCGTCGGCCGCCGGCGAGCTGGTGGCACGGGACGCCGAGCCGGACTCGTGGCCGGCGCGGTCCAGCACGGAGGAGGAGGAGGACAGAGAGCTGCAGGGAGCTATCGCGAAGGTGCAGGAGGAGGGCGAATCGGAAGACCTGGCCGCCGAACAGGGGCACCTGTCCGAGTTCCGTGCGGAGGACGACCAGTCGCGGCGCTCGTTGGACCTGGCCGGCGACAACAACTACCGACTTGTGGGCGTGGTCAGCCACCGCGGTGGCGCCACGCATTCGGGCCACTACGTCGCTGACGTGTATAGCGTAGGCCGCGACCACTGGTTTCATTATGATGATCGCAGTGTCAGCTGCGTGCAAGAGTCGGACGTGCTCGGAGACAACCACCAGGACCAGACCGCCAGAAACGGTTACATCTTTCTCTACCTTCATGTCGACCTGTGCAGCCAGGTGTCAGCCGCTACGGCACTGGGTCATGGGCGGCGCAGCTCCTTCCCGACCCGGCTCCGGCAGCACCCGCGCCGTGGAAGGAACCCCCGGGGCGGAGTAAAACGGCCAGGCGACCTGTGGGGACCGGGCGCTAATGACGAACACGTAACATATGTACAGTGTAGATGTTTACTGGCCTCAAAGGTTTTTTTGACCCACATAATCGCATTTGTCATGTAAAATGGACCGTAAAACATGCATCACACGAGACTTTCGTATTGTGACCCTCAGTGCCCTGACCTGTGTGACCCTACCTGGTATCAATGACCTCAAATAGCAAAATATGTGTTTGATTGACAATTCCATATCGATGATTTTCAATAGCATGCCTTTTTACTAGCACATTTCTTGAAACACCGTTTCGACATTTGACCTGACCTGTGACGTCCTCGGTTAGAACGAGGTAAATGAAATTGGGTCACAAGGTAGTTCCCCGTTGGGGCTATCCAATACCGTTAGCTGCTTGTCGCTATGTTGCGTGGTTCTCGAGATCTTAGGGGAGGGGGCAAAATGCCCCCCCCCCCCAACCCCCAGCGCTGCTCGGCAGACCCCAACGGGGCGCGGGTTAAAGGGACTATCCCACCTTCTAAAATGTTGTTAAAACCAGTTAAATTGTGCCCGACTTTATAGATTGGATGACCAGGAACACGGTTCTGGCATTTATTTTTCATTAAACATCTTAGGCTTCCCATGTTCCAAACACAAACTTTCAAATATGTGACGTCACAGTCCAAAATTACCTCCTTCCCCAGGCCACATTACTGTCATAAAGCTGATTCTTTTTACTCTGTAGGCACCACAACAAAGTTCAGACCAAGTTTTAAGCGATTTTTCAACGAACAAACCCATTTAAATCAGAATGACTAAACGAGGTGACGTCACACTAACGGTCGCTCCATGTTGAAGATAGGGCCTTGTACAAGGCCCATTTTCAAATGAAGGGAACGAATTTCTTCAACACCAAGAGGCCGCGGGGGTTGCAACCTAGATAGATAGTGGTTTCTGAACCTCGCCGCAAACTTGCAGTGGCGGTCGCAGGGGGGGGGGCCATCAGGGCCATGGCCCCCCCCAAAGGCAAATCAGGGGGGGGGGGGCATCATATCATTTGGCCCCCCCAAACAACCGATGGGCCCCCATGGCCGTATGGGGCCCTGGCCCGTATTCGATTGTCACAAGGCTCGAGAAACCCACGCCAGCTATTAACAGCTCCCATACCAGTCTTTGAGGGTCCTACACTGACCTCTGAGGGGCCTTCAGTGGCGGTCAAGCGTCCACATTGACCGCTGAGGACCCGTATTGACCTCTGAGGGCCCTCCACTGGCCTTTGAGGGCCCCTAAACCGGCCTCAGGGGCCCAACCGGCGTCTGAGAGCCTAACACCGGCCTCTGGTGGCCTCATTTCTGTCTCTCGAGTCCCAAGACTAGCCTTTAAGTGTCTCTGAGGGCCCCGCACTGGATTCTGAAGACCCGATGTCGAGCCAGCATCGGCCTCTGGGGGCCCATCTTGGCCTTTGAGGGCCCTCCGCTGGTCTCTGGGGTCCAACGCCGGCCCATGCCGGCCTTTTAGGGCCCCACACTGACCTCTTAGGGCCCATGCTGGCCTGTAAGGACCCACATTAGCCTCTAAGGGCCCCCCGCACTGGATTCTGATGACCCAATGCCGGCCGCTCAGGGCCCGCATCGGCGTCTGAGGGCCCATCTTGGCCTTTGAGGGCCCTCTGCTGGCCTCTGGGGTCCAACGCCGGCCCATGTCGGTCTTTTAGGGCCCCACACTGACCTCTGAGGGCCCATGCTGGCCTGTAAGGATACACATTAGCCTCTATGGGCTCCACACTGGATTCTGAAGACCCGATGCCGGCCTCTAAGGGTCCGCATCGGCCTGTGAAGGCCCATCTTGGCCTTTGAGGGCCCTCTGCTGGCCTCTGGGGTCCAACGCCGGCCAATGCTAGTCTTTTAGGGTCCCATTCTGATCTTTGAGGGCCCCATGCTGGCCTGTAAGGGCCCATATTAGCTTCCGAGAGCCCCCCGCACTGGATTCTGAAGACCCGATGCCGGCCTCTAAGGTCAGCATCGGCTTCTGCGGGCCCATCTTGGCCTTTGAGGGCCTTCTGTTGGCCTCTGGGGTCCACCGCCGGCCCATGCTGGTCTTTAGGGCCCCACACTGACCTCTGAGGGCCCGTGCTGGCCTGTAAGGGACCCACCTTAGCCTCTGAGGGCCCCGCACGGGCTTCTGAAGACCTGATGCCGGCCTCTAAGGGCCCGCATCGGCCTAGTCTGAGGGCCCATCTTGGCCTTTGAGGGCCCTCTTCTGGCCTCTGGGGTCCAACGCCGGCCCATGTCGGTCTTTTAGGGCCCCACCCTAACATCTGAGGGCTCCATGCTGGCCTGTTGTAAGGACCCATATTAGCCTCTGAGTGCCCAATTCGGTCTCTGATGGTCTCAAACTGCCCTTTGCAGGCCCTGTACTGGTCTCTGAGGGCTCTAAACTGGCCCCTTAGAGCCCAAACCAGCCTCTAAAGGTCCCACGACTCACACCGGCCTCTGATGGTCCCATTTCTGTCTCTGGGACCGAAACTGCCCTTATGTGCCTCTGAGTGCCCCGTACTCGCTTCTGAAGGCCATCGATGCCGGCTTCTGAGGACCCATACCGGTCTTTAAGTGCCTCATAGCGACACCTGAGGCCCCACACTAGCCTCTGAGGGGCCCGCAAACTGGCCTATGAGGTCTCTACACCGGCCACTGATGGCCCTATTATGTTCTCTGGGGGCTCAAGCCTTACCTTTGGGCGTCACGCACTTGCTTATGAAGGACCACATCAGCCTCTGGGGCCCTACCTGGGGCCTTTAAGGCCCTTCGCTGACCCTTAGGTCCAACGCCGGCCTCTGGGGGTCTGACACCGTACTCTAAGGGCCCCATTGCATTCTCTAGGCGATAGGTATCGCCGAAGCGCTATCGATGGGCCCATAAGTGTAGGAACCATGGGTGCAGTGGGCGCAGTTGCACCAACAATAATTCTGCAGTGAGTGCAGACAATGTATTCTGCATCCACAATAATCTGGAACAAAACCCCTTTCCTCAGCAACACTACTTTCCATGCAGCACGACAAATTTAGGATATTTTGCCCACTATCCGTCTTTCGAAGCATTTGCTACTGTAATGGTCTTCAAAATTTGCATTTGTGCTCAAGTGAAAAAAAGATTAAACGGAAGTCGGAACACATGTGTGAACAGATACCGATGAGCCACTGTTAAAAGTTTTAGCACGATGATCTTAAAAAATGGCAAAGTTTTTTTTTTGCAAAGAAAATTGCAAAGTTAGCCGCCTTTACTTTTGCGGTAGTCCATTCACAGTTGCGTGAATTATTGACATAATCAATGCTTCAAAATGCACTTTTCGGTACCTTTTCGACATGGTGCACCCTCAAAGCTCTCAATGAGCCTCCGCTCGGGTGCCGCTCCCTACCCCCCCCCCCCCCCCCCGCTTCACCGGCCATGGCCTGGATTTCTGCACCCGTACACTACGCCCGTGGGCCCCTTTAAGCTAGCACCGGGCCCCCCGGGTCAGCGCAGGGGCCCCTTTGCCAAGTTGGCCCCCCCCCCAAACTCCAAGTCTGCGACCGCCCCTGCAAACTTGGCTATCTCAACTCAAACCCCATGTTAAAGGTGGGATAGTCCCTTTAACAGATTACGTGTGCGAAGAGAATAGCCACAACCTCACAGTCCTCACCTGAAACCTCTAACAGCAACTCTGTCGTGCTCCATGTCTCCCTTGAACTTGTCGAAGAGTTTTGAACGACCCAGCCGACACTTTTCAGCATCCCATTCCATTTCTTTGAGAGCCTGCAAAGTAATAGACATATCATCGTACTTTTTGTTGTTGAGAAAGCGTAGCCCTACGTGGCTGGTTTGGGGCACAAGAGTGGGCACTGAGCAGAGTGACTGAAACTGCACCGGGTAGTGTGTCAGTGCGGCTCAGGCAGTGCCCGGCGGCCGGACTCGGTCGTGCGGCGGAGCTCGCGGCGCACTGACCGTCTGGAGGCTTTCCTCGGCCTTGCGCCTCTGCTCGGCCCGGATCCGTTCGTCCAGCAGCAGCTCGTCGTGACTGAGAGCCACCTGTCTCGGCAGGCCCTGGTTCCTGAAACAGCCACGGGCAGCGACACGGTCAGCCACCAACAAAACAAACACCGAAACCGCGGCCGGTGCAACTGCGCGACCGTGACGGTGATTTATCACAACAAAATCGTAAGAGGTGACACATTAACTACTGACACATTACACATTAACTACACATTAACAGCGGGCCCGGCGTCCCTCGGATGCGTCAGCCGACGACGAGGCGAAGCGGTCCAAGCAGGAGAACGGCCACAACGGCGTCAACGGCCAGGCGGCGCCCCTGATATGCGTCCGCCCCGACCTAGACCCGCTGCCCCGCCCTTCTGATCTGGTTCACCCGTACATAATGTCTCGCCGCATCATTTTATTGTGCTATTAAATGTACCTGTTTTGGTGTAAATATTCAAATACATTCGACACCCTTAACTACTGCATTACGCTAACAAGTGATGAGCTGATGATCTTCTTTTATGAATCAAGTACTATAAATAATACCCGGCCTCAGACCAACTCTACCATTGAGAACTGGCCGGCACATGTTGGTCCCATGATCTCGCGCCCCACTGGAATTGAGTGTGACGTGTGTACTGTGTGTGTGTGTGTCCCGGCTGGAACTGGGTGCTGTCGGGCCGTGACCTATCCCCTATCCCAGTGTGTACCTATCCCCCAGGGTATTGTTGGGCTCTGCGGTGTGCGCCGGGTGCCCCCCCCCCCCCCCCGGGTACTGTCGGGCTGTGACGCGAGTGTGACTGTGCGGTGCCCCGCTCACAGGCCGATCCACTGTTTGAACTCTCGGCGCAGCTCTGCCAGGTCGGCGCGCACGGCCGCCTTGCGCGCGTCAGCCAGCTGCTGGCGGGCGTCCAGAGCCGACCGCTGACGCTGCTCCTCCAGACTGTAGGTGGACGCGTCATCGATGTCGTCCACCCGCTCCTCCGGCTGCGCACCGCCCGGGCGGAGGGGGGGGGGGGGAGCCGGGTCAGATAGCAGGCCAACAGCGCGGCGTGCAGGGATGAGTGGTGGGATGTCGACCTGTAGGCACATAAATTGACCCTCGCCTGTGTGCGGCGTTTTCCAGATTCTAACGTGTAGGAGGTCAGTAATTTGGCCCCCCGCTTGCCGCTTCGCCCCTGATCGAGCTAGAGCTTCGCAGAAAAGAAAGGAGCGTCATGCCCGTGACGAGAGGAAGCCGATTATACCCAATTTTAACCCTCGCCGGCACAGGCCATTTTGCGTCATTTGACGGCACAAGGGGGGGGGGTACGACCCCCCTCGCCTATGGCCCCTGATCGGGCTAGAGCTTTGCGGAAAAAACGAGCGTGTTGTCCGTCACGAGAGGAAGCCGATGATACCCAATGTTAAGGTCCTAGGTCATCGGGTGACCTTCCAGGTCAGGTCAATGACCCGAAAATCGGGAAAATCGGGACCTGTTAGAAAGTCGTAAAGTAAGGCTGCTATGGGGTTTTTCGGGGTGCTGATAACGAATATCGTGTTAGTTTTGATCAGAGATGATGTCTTTAAGTATTTAAACCAGGTCGGGTCAGGTCAAGTCAGGTCAACCGGTAGGGGACGTGACGGGTATTCGTAATACGTGTCAACCGCCTCTGACAGCTTCGTAACATGTTACGAACGCACCAAAACTACTTCGTAAATGTTCAAGTGGTTGCTAAATTCGAATTCAGCTCCAAAAACTAGCCTAGAAACATGTAAAACTAGAAAAAGTGAACCGAGGTCACCAAAGGTCAATGACCTGACCTGACCTTCAGGTGACCTTGGCACCCACCCTAATATATGGGAGCAGCATCAAATCACATGTTTGAACGTTTGAAACCACGAAAAGCTTGCAAACGCGCGGCTAATACGAGCCAACATACGCCAAATCGCGATTCCGGCCAAACATGGTCTCGGAAAAGAGGTCACAGGCCAAAGGTCATTTGTGTCAGGGTCATTAAATTTTCAGGGTAGGTGTAAAATTGATCAATGCGAGGGTACTGAAAGTTTCGTCGCGATCGGCCGCTTTTTACGCGAGTTATTCGCGAAAAACCGTAAACCGTTGCATCAACCCACCTGTGTCGGCGAGGGTTAAAGGGACCCTCCCACCTTCAAAAAAGTTAATGAATTGGCACGAAAGTGATGTCGCTCGGTTCAGAAAGAGCGAAAACGAATATCTACCAAATTTCATCGAAAAATATTCACCGGTTTTCAAGATATTAGACTTTTACTTTTGTTTACTTTTTGGGATCTCCGCTGTTCCTAGCGACTTTATTTGAAAGTGCGGCATTTGTTGCGCGCAAAGCAGAATATACCACCGCGTGCTACCAAACGTTTTAGTAAAAGATTTAAAAATCGTTAGATCTCCGCTGACGTCACAAATTCTAAGGGGGCATACCAACCCAGCCAGCAATTCGGTTGGGGAAAGTGCGGGGACAGTGTTGGGGAAAGCTTGGGGAGAACGTACAATTCCCCTATCGGATCGGGGAACGGTCCGTGTTCCCCATCCCTTCCCCGACTGTATCGGTAATATGTTCAAAAGACATGGGGAAATCACACCGATCCCCGTACGGGGAAAGAGCAGCATTCCCCAATCAAACCCCACTGCTGGGGTTCGGTCGGGTAAAAGATCAGATTCCCCGTACGGGGAAGGGTGCGTTATCCCCGACCCATTTTCAGGAACAGTTTGATTGGGGAAAAGTAGGGGAACTGTTGAAATTCCCCGCTTGGGATTTTACACTTAATCCCCAGACGAACCCCAACCGCCAGTAGGACGTCTTGAGATCGACTTCCAGCATGTAATATAACAAGTATTCAATAAAGAAAAATTGAATCTTGGGAATGTTAAAAGCAGTCTTAGTAGCAGTTCTAGAGCTATAGGCTCATGCATCGATTGAAGGGAGATATAATAAATAAAAAATATAACGATATAACGATTTTTTATAATCGTTTTCATGACAGGTGATCTGGCGAATGCATCAAACAGTGACCAAATTTGCACCAAATCTCTTTTTCATGTCTTCATATCATATACTTGTTTATTTCAGTGTTTTAACCCGCGCCGTGCTGGTGGCCTGAACTTTCCGCCGAGTGCTGGGGGGGGGGCGTTTTCACGCCCCCCCGTCTAACTCGGCTCCTGGGCCACGTAGCGACACGCGGTAAGCGGCAATCGAAAGAGCGTCAAAAATAAGGACGAAAACACTTCGGTCATTTTTTGGGTCAGGTCAAAGGTCAGGTCACCAGAGGTCACCAAAGGTAAAATGTTGACTATTTCAACATTTTGGAAACTGCCAACGGCTATCTCGGGAACCGATAGAGCTACAGCGCCGCGGAAAAGCGCATTCGATAGCCCTTTTACAGACCTTTCTGAGTAATGTTCTCAGATTTGACCTCAGGTCAACGGTTTAGCCTCCAGAGGGCAAAAACTCCAAAAATAGCCGTTTTTACGAAAAACGTTTTTTCGTCAATAACTTTTGACTCATAAGCGCCATGACATTACTTTTGCCAGCATCGTGTTCCTCTCGTCGAGACGCGTCGAATGAACTATTTGTTGACCTTGAAAGGTCATTTTGAAAATTTGACCTCAGGTCAAGGTCATGACCTGACCGAAAAGGGTCATGTTGCATATCAGTCGATCCGTATCGTCGAGCTGAACACATCTGACGTGTTTTCACCGCTCTAGCACGTCTCTATCAAAAGTTATAGCCAAAAAACTGCTGGCGACCGTTCATGACCTGAGATGACCTCAGGGGCACACAGAGGGGTCACAGGTGCATTTTTCCTATTCAGTGTGTCATGTTTACCTATGAACCGATGTTTGAGAGCGTTTTGAACGATATTCGTCCAAAAGAGGCGCATTTCAATTTTCTCCCATTGACTTATAATGGAGAGGTCGCAAAATTGACCTGACCTTAGGTCACAGATATCAAAAATCCGAGATATACATTTTATACATACTGTTACTCATATCAATCGCTGAAAGTTTCAAAGTGATCGTTCAGTCGGTGTAGCTATAGCGAGCCTTTGAACTTTGTCTGAGGTAAGGTCACTTGACGTGACCTGGTGACCTGACCTTGAACGGCCTAGGTCTGAAATTTTCACAACATGTGCGGAAATGATGTAGGAACACGTGTACCAAAAACGGCGGCGCTGCGCGCCGCCGTTTTTGAGATATTCGCGAAAAACCTGAGGGGGGGGCGTAAAAACGCCCCCCCCCAGCACGGCGCGGGTTAACCCTCGCCGGCCGAGGGGGGGGGGGCGGGTGCCGCCCCCCCCCCATAGGGTTTTTTCGCGATAGCTCCGAACACGCTGGCGATAGAGAGCTGAAACTTGGCATACCTGACCTTTGATCCAAGCCGCATCTTTTGACACCAACCGCATTTTTGGGTCAGGTCAGGTCACTGACCTATGACGTCATAAGTGAACCTCTGCACGGTCTTCAGATGTCGCAACTTCGCAACGCCCTCACTGCCAGAGGAGATGTCACAGGGAAATGAAACTTGCAGGATCTAGTATCCATTATGAGTCTCACAACTTGTATATCTCGGATTTTTCCTAAAGGTCATATGAGGTCAGGTCATTTTCGTGACCTCACCATTATAAGTCAATGGGGAAAAATTCAAACTGCTATTCTGGCGCCGGGAACGATCTCCAACTATCTCAAGCACACAGAATCGTGATTTGATGCACTCCTTGCAAGGTTAGATGCGTCATTTTTGCAATGTTGACCTTCCGTGACGTCATTTATGACGTCATCAAGGTCATATTAGTTTTTCGTCAATAACTCCCGATCAAATTGAGCTAGCGAGTCGAGAAAGCCACCAATGGACTCAGGAAGACCTGCCGAATCGAATGATATGCGACATGACCTCTTTCGACCAACTTCGTGACCTGGGGGTGCTGACCTGACCTTGACCTGAGGTCAACACCCCAAGTTGACCTGACCCGAACAAAAAGTATATCATTCGACGCGCCTGAGCGAGGCGAACACGATGCTGCCAAAATCGCGGCTCTGCGGCCGTTTTTTGCGAAGTTATTCACCAAAAACTGAACCGCACCCTGGGGCACTTGACCTGACCTCAGAGGTCACCGGTTGACCTAGGACCTTAAAATCTGGTACCAATCTCTGCGTCCCGTAACGGCGCACACGCTCGTTTTTTCCGCGACGCGCTAGCTCCACCAGGGGCGAAACGGCGAGGGGGGGGGTCGTACCCGCCCCCCCCCCCTCGGCCGGCGCGTATGTAGAAAACCAATAGGTCCGGCGAGGGTTAATCGAAAATAATGTCTGATAATTTTATCAAATCGGCACCGTATCTGGACCAAATGTCTACCAATTGTGTACCAGTTACCTATCATGGAAACGGTTATTCGCAGACATTTGATTGTAGACATTGGATCTATGTAATTTTCGACCTAAAAGAGAGGAAAAACTGTCTTGGTTTACGGGGCCTGCTAAGCCGTGTGGATGAGGACACGCATACGCCATTACTTTGAACGAACGTTGGTGCCCTTATTTCATGAGGTAAAATCAACTTTGACAACTTTCAGCATCTATGTTTCTTCTCGCACTGCTGTGGCATAAACATTACGTTTTCTTTTTTCTGTCATCACTCATCGCATTGAAATTACAAAAGCATCAAAATTTCAACAACACACTGCTTACGACTTAGAAGTGTCGCCTCAACGCAGCGAGGGGAGGGGAGGGAGGGGTAGCAACGGCCGGCCGCCTTCGGTTCCGTCCGCACACCTGGTTGAGGGGCGTCTCCTGTCGCCATCTGTCATCGTGAATGGGGCCGTGCCGACGCGTCAGACGGGACGAACGGGGGAAGTCGGTCCAGAGTCACTGCGCCGCGCGGTTGTGTGAGCAAGCCGTGGGCTAGGTACCGCTCCAGGTCAGACAATGGTTGGCACTGAAGAGTGCGGCGACACTACAGAGCTGTGAACGAAGA